GATTTCGTTCATTTTTGGCTCTTTTTTCTCGGGTTTTTTTTCTGTTTTTTTGGGAATTCCAGGTGGGATTTTTTTGGGAATTTTATCCCCAGCTGTTCCCAGATGTTTTTCCCTTTTCCTGGAGCATTTTTGGGTCGATTTAAGTCGATTTTGGGTCATTTTTGGGTCGATTTCGTTCATTTTTTTGTCGTTTTCCTCGGGGTTTTTTGTGTTTTTCCGGGAATTCCGGGTGGGATTTTTTTGGGAATTTTGTCCCAGCTGTTCCCAGATGTTTTTCCCTTTTCCTGGAGCATTTTTGGGTTCATTTTAGTCCATTTTGGGTCAATTTTGGTTCGATTTTTGTGCGTTTTGGGGTCATTTTTGGGTCGATTTCGGTCATTTTTGGCTCTTTTTCCTCGGGGTTTTTTGTGTTTTTTGGGAATTCCGGGTGGGATTTTTTTGGGAATTTTGTCCCCAGCTGTTCCCAGATGTTTTTCCCTTTTCCTGGAGCATTTTTGGGTCGATTTGAGTCCATTTTGGTTCGATTTTTGTGCGATTTTGGGTCATTTTTGGTTCGATTTTTGTGCGTTTTGGGGTCATTTTTGGGTCGATTTCGGTCATTTCTGGCTCTTTTTCCTCGGGGTTTTTTGTGTTTTTTGGGGAATTCCGGGTGGGATTTTTTTGGGAATTTTGTCCCAGCTGTTCCCAGCTGTTTTGGGTGTCCCCAGGGAGCCCCTGGGCTCGCTGAGCCCCGAGGAGAGGGACGCCAGGACCGTGTTCTGCATGCAGCTGGCGGCCAGGATCCGGCCCCGGGACCTCGAGGATTTCTTCTCTGCCGTGGGCAAGGTGAGAGGGGGGGGAAAATTCCCAAAAATCCGGGAAAAATACGGGAAAAATACGGGAAAAATTGGGGAAAAGTTCGGGAAAAATCCGGGAAAAATTGGGGAAAAATCCGGGAAAAGTTGGGGAAAAAATCGGGAAAAGTCTGGGAAAAGTGAGGGGAAAATCTGGGAAAAATTGGGAAAAAATTCGGGAAAAATTGGGGAAAAAATCTGGAAAAATCTGGGAAAAGTGAGGGGAAAATCTGGGAAAAATTGGGGAAAAATTCGGGAAAAATTGGGGAAAAAATCGGGAAAAATCTGGGAAAAGGAAGGGGAAAAGTTGGGGAAAAAATGGGGAAAAATTTGGGAAAAATTGGAGAGAAATCCAGGAAAAATCAGGGAAAAGTTATGGAAAAATCCGAGAAAAATCTGGGAAAAATAATGGAAAAATCCGGGAAAAGACAGGGAAAAATTGGGGAAAAATCTGGGAAAAGTTGGGGGAAAATCCGGAAAAAGGCAGGGAAAAATCTGGGAAAAGTCAGAGGAAAAATCCGGGAAAAATTGGGGAAAAATGAAGGGAAAATCAGGGAGAAGTCATGGAAAAGTCAGGGGAAAATTGGGGACAAATCCGGGAAAAATTTGGGATAAATAATGGGAAAAGTCAGGAAAAAATTGGGGAAAAAGTCTGGAAAAAATCAGGGAAAAGTCAGGGAAAAATCTGGGAAAAGTAATGGAAAAATCCGGGAAAAGACAGGGAAAAATTGGGGAAAAATTTGGGAAAAATTGGGGAGAAATCCGGGAAAAATCTGGGAAAAGTCCGGGAAAA